AAAAGTTTAATTTCTAGCGTCAGGTGAATAATGTTTCAACATCCATGAAAACTGCAGGTTTGCCCAGAACGAAAACCTAAAATGCACAATTTTGCGGTACTTACGCAATCGCTCCGATGGAGCCTGCGCACTGTTTCGAACCAATTAAACCACAGCCCACGTAAGCAGTATGCACAGACCGATTTAGCTAACCCCTTTATTTACATTTGAGTTGCCATATTTTGCGAATAAGGATTAGGCAGTCTTTGAAGTTATCGACGTATATACATACCCGACCGATCAGAAACGAAATTCTGCCGAAAACTGGGGCCCTCGTTGGCGTCCCCATTTGGAAGCTGCCCGATGTCGCACCCTAGGCGGTCAGGCATATCTCCCCAAAGAAGGCTGCCAGTAAATTGGTCAGCGTGTATTATGGTGATGGTATTTCATTTAAATCTACGCGCGTCGTTGACGTTTTATCGATACAAGCCATACGAGTTAGTTGCTTGGCGTATTCACAACTAATAATTGGCGAGGAGAAATTGCTATCGAGCGTTTCAATCTTCATACAAATTCAAATAACGAACAGTGCGGGCAATTTACGATGGACGAAATGTCCTCTGAGCCCCCCTTGCCCCCCGCTGCTTCCGCACGGATTCTAATTTGCAATTACCCACTGGCATATACCGGTTTAGTCTTTTATCTCATTTCCGTATATTTTGCTTTAGAAACCAAATTGTTGTACTTACCTGTTTACTGATGGTGGCGAAGCAATAAAGTATCTTCAGAAAATCTCTTGAGGAAAATGACCAAGGAATAAAATATAAACAATGTCAGAATCTTCACTTTCATTTCATACAAAAAAAGATTTGCATACTGCATACAGAAGATTTGTACATAAAACTACATAATAAACAATACAGTTTTTCTCCGCAAATATGTTAAAAATGAGCATGAAAATTAATTAAAAAATTATAATTAAACCCCCCACACATATTTTAATGATTTCTTGTTCTTAAATATATAACACATAAGAGCAATTTCAAATTCAAAGCATTCCTGTATGTATAATTTTATTTTTATTTATTTTTATATGTTTATTCATTATAATTTTGAAGCCATCTTTGATACGTTTTATTTTTCAAAGAAACCCATCGAAAAATGTCTAAAGAGATCCCAACTAGCATTTTTTGTTTTATAGTAGTAACGGTTAAGTTTCGATTACCTATTTCTGTTCGCAAAACGTTAAAAGCACTAACCAAAATTAACCAAATTTTAGTCCCATACAAAACTATTAGTCCAAATTTATTTGTAGAATTTGTAAAACTTTGTAAAAACTTTATAAAACATAAATAAGTTTTATAAAAGCAAGGAATACTGATCTTATTTACAACTGATGCGCCTCGTTTTGAGCACTTTAGAATGTATATCTGGGAAAAGCAAGAAAGTTTAAATACTGACCCATAATTTTTTTTTGCAATTAAAATCCAGAACTTCTTGCAAGGATATTGCCTCAGATGCGAAGTCCTTTTTCAGTTATTTATTTATTTGTTCTTGAATGATATTTTCATTTTCATAAATATCTGGATAAATTATAGAATTAAACTAAACACGTCCTTTTAAAGTTGTTTAAAAGAAAGAAGTTGGCAGTGGGATTAAAGTTTTCATAGTAGCTAAAGGGTATTTATATTTATAGGATCCTTTATGATTTTTAAGAAATAAGCCATAAAACGCAAGAGTAAAAGTGTTATAATAAGATTTTTGCCCAATAAAACCTTTTTAAAAAACCAACAACAATAAAGTAACGGAAACATTTATAAAATTAAATGTGTTTCGATATTTATTGGACGTCTTATAGAACTTATAGCACCAATAGGCATCAAAAAACTATAAACGCTAAGGTTTAGTTATAAATATGCGTTATCTTTTAGTAAAACCTTATAATAAACTTTAACATGTTAGTTGGGGTGTATGATAAATTAAGTACGCATAGATAATCCACAATCCACATGCCAAAACTTTGCATAAATTTCATATTGTGGGTTAACATGTATTAGTATTGGTATTGGTATTAAAGGGGGGCGCCCTCGCGGGCGTCCAAGCACTTAGGCCACCAGATGGGCCCGTTGTGCCCCCAGGCCGCTCTAGAGGGCGTCCAGAATGCCGCCCCTCCTGTAGAAGGTCAGCAACTCCTTTAGCCCAATACCGTGCACTGAGTCCGGATCGATCAGGGCCGTTCCGAAGACCCCAATCTTGCCCATGTCAAGGCAGGGCACTCGGTGATCAGATGATACGGGGTCTCCTCCCCTTCCATGCACCACCTACACTCCGGGTCGTCTCCAATGCCTAGCAAGCAAAGATGCCTCCTAAGCCTGCAATGTCCTGTGTAGGCCCCTGTTAGTGCTCTACACTCCCTTCTGGTCAGTCTAAGCAGCTCCCTGGTCCGAGGAAGGGCGGGCCCATCCATCATAAGCCTCGCCTGCCTCATTCCCGGAGCAACTCTCCAGCCCCCGCATCCCGGTCTCTCGCCCAGGCTTCGAGAGCTCCCCGCCTCACACATGGGGCGATCCCCAAGCGGGGCTCTGGCCCTATATGCCTATGCGAGGAGCCCTCCCTGGCTAAGGCGTCCGCTGCCTCATTGCCCCGGATACCGGTGTGACCCGGGACCCAGACCAACGTGACCTTTCTCTCCTCAGCCACCCTCCTCAGTACCCCTTTCCACTCCTTAACATGTTATAACAATAATTATGAAATGTCGCCAGTTTTGACCTTATCGATAAAGTCAAGATAGCTCTGACATGTTTGTTTGTGGCACTTTTTAAGATCAGAATATAGCCGCCTTGGGTCATGAAAGCCACAACACACTAGTTTTATTAATAAGAGAGATACGCCGTACAGCTACAAGACTCTTTTTTCATTTAGAATCTCCAAATCTTACCTTTCTTTACCTTGACAGTTATGTATTTACAATGATTACATAAAAGTTGCATCAGTGAGCCAACTGTTTAGGACGGCGCTTAGGGTGACTTGCTTTTATCCTGATTTGTTATAAGGTGGCGTGTGTGAGTAAAATTAAATGTGCAACAGTTAAGATCTCTAATGTACAACAATTTTATAATATTTGAATCATTTGCCAAAAGAAACAATTGAACCGCAAATTTCATTCACACAAGATAACGTTTCGATTCAAAAACTCTACTATTTTCTTCGTTAACCAGTGTATGAACTATATACACGAAAGTCATCAGCGCAAGTTTTGCCTCGATGGCAAAAAACAATCGCTGCCGAGCCCACTGGACCGTCATTTCGAATTCGAAGCCCATTTAATAAGAATAAATGTTTTTTGCGTCCTGTTTCCGTTTTGTTTTTAACTAAACGAGACGGGGGACCAAAGTTTCGCATGATTGGTTGGGTTAACTAGTTTTATTTAATTTCGCTAGCCAAATGTGTCGGAATGAGGTTTAGCCAGCCAACTATGCATCTGATCAAAACGGTTTAGCCTGAAAAATGGCCACAAAGTGTCCAGAATAGCCACGTTATATGCTATTTTTAACATCTAGGAAGGTGAATAAAATTTACCGAATATTAATAATTGCAAAGAATTGCTAGAAAATCCAACAAACCCAAACCCACTAGAGTCCTTAGCTAGATTTTAATAGTTTTAAGCGACTTTCCGTAACCAAGTTGTTTAAAACTTTGACGAAATCTATTATTAAATTTGTTTCGAGAAAGCTCCTATGATTCCAGACCATGCTTTGATAAATGAAAAAACGTAAAAAGGCAATTTGAAAAAAGTGCTATAGGAGCATTAATATTAATTCTTCTAGTATAATTTGCCACGAAACTCCATTCCTCGCTACTCTTTCGCTGCCGTATAAACAAATAAACAAATCGTGTTACACACCAATAATACGCGATAAACAAATTATAAAACTCAATTTGTTAAACGGATTTTTCAGATTAATTTAATGGGTTTGCCGGTAAATACAATCTCTTCGTTACTAAATAAATTCATTAAAATATAATTTTGTTACATGGCGTCGCGATAACTAATTTAATGTCGCTTATTTTGGAAATATTGCATTTCAGGGTGGCTGCATGGACTTTGGTTACTGTTGCATTTTACGTTGATAATCATTAAAATGGACATCCAGCAAAGATTTAGGACATAGGATTTCGAATATTAGTATACTAAATTATGTGACAAGTGTGATAAGTGGAATTTGAGTCATAAGTCATGAGCTATGAGATTAAACACGAGTGCCTTAAAAAGTTTATCCAACGTATCATACTTTTTCTACGAAGGTTAGCTTTTGGATACATTTTTGCAAAAGAATTGGCAAACGTCAAAATTTTTCACTCAGGAGTGGTAATGTACCGGAAATGTGGGACAACAAACTGACGTGATAAAATGACATTTTCCGCAAGCTAGATCGGTGTATAATTTTAGAGGAAGGAGTGAAAAATAGTATATTATGCAACAAGTGCGGTAAACGGCATTTGACTCACGAGTTTATTTGACACGAGCGGAGCGAGTTTTCAATAAACAAGTGAGTTAAAAAGTTTACCACATTGTTGAAGAGAAAGTGTTGGCTTGGGTCCATAGTCCGTCCATAGTTTGTTGGAAATGTCGTGTCGTGTCAAGCATTTATAATTTTTCTTCGTAGCAAATTCATTATAAATTTATTTTTAATTTGTTGCCTTTTTGTATGAAATATTTTACTATAAGCTTCTTGGCCACAAATTTAACGGGCCTTATATCAGCAAACCAAAGATTCGGTGATATGGGGTTTTTAAAATTAGAATTCCGAATATTCATAAAGGGTATCACCCAATCTCAATTAATAGTACTGCCCTCAAAAAATCATTGAAGTTTCTAGTAAAACCAATTTTCAAGCATTTGGGGCAGGCAAAACTGGTTGACTGAAGCACTCTGTAAAGCCGGTCATGAAATCTTGTTTTTTCATATGTTTTGAAAGATTTTCAAGCAGTAGATACAATACTAAAAACTCAACTGAAATTACTTCTTTATTACAATAAGCTTAAAAATTTAAACAAAGCAAAATTTACCTTTCCTCAATACATAATGTGTTTTTTTTTTTGATATTTTTACATCGAATTACTAACTACGTTAAAGTAACAAATACAATCACAGATTACAAGCTTCGCTCTTCAAACAGTTCGAGTCAGTGTCCGGATGGAATATAGGCATATTTCCAAATGTCTCCCAAACACGCGGATGAATGGAACCTAAGAAAAATTTGATATGCTTTATATATGTATTGTTCTTCAAGGTGGCCGATCGAAAACGAATCAACGAAGAAATAATCAGAGAAATATGTTTACTGTCATTTTTTTCTGCTATATATACCTGTAAAACATCATCAAAGGCAAACAAACGTGGCCCACTATCGACCATAGTTCCTTCGAGTAATACTCCTGTCTATATTGGTCTAAGCCGTGAGATTTGACTTCGAAAGTTTGCATGAGCCACATCGCTATGTTGCATATTATTAAAAAAGTCACTAGCTCTCTTCCTGGTTTCTTCTGCCTATTTTCTTTAGTGTTGCTTGATCTGGCCATACCGTCTATCATTAAAGGCGTCTGGATCAAAATTTGCGCTACCTGAACAGAATTCATACTCTAATATATTGAGAAACGACTACATTGTTTTTTTTTTGTCAGAAAAGGCAAAAATTTATTAGATTTTTTTTCAGATTTCTCTATAAAAAAATTGCTATTAGAAACATGAAAAATTGTTACATTACTTTTATTTTTTTACATAGACTGGAATTAATACGGCATAATAATAATAATAATAATAATAATAATAATAATAATAATAAAAGCCATATAATATGACGAAGTTATACAAAGAAATGATTTCATGTACCTGTCCAAGTTTGACGCAAGTCTAGCCTTTGGCTACTCTAGTGAACCAATCAGAGAGAAACATATTTTAACAGTACTATGTTAATCCTATAAAAAAATTGTCAAGAGACATTACAGTAATTATACCTGCAGAAATACGTTAAAGAAAAAAAAATTGTATACACTATGGTAACTTTTAGATTATAACATTAGAGGCGAATTAATCGATTTTATAAAATTTTGGACTTAGTGATAAGTGGGTTCTATATTAGTTATTTTAGTTTAATCGAGATTTAAAAGATTTTCTTTATATTTTATTTTGAAATTATGTAATTACAGTGTTACGTTAAAGAAAAAACAATTAGTATACACCATGGTAACTTTTAGATTATAAAATTTAAGGGGAATTAATTGATTTTATAACATTTTGGACTTAGTGATTAGTAGGTTCTATATTAGTTATTTTAGTTTAATAGAGATTTAAAAGATATTTTTTATATTTTATTTTGAAATTATGAAATTACAGTGTTACGTTAAAGAAAAAACAAATAGTATACACTATGGTAACTTTTAGATTATAAAATTAGACGGGCATTAATCGATTTTATAAAATTTTGGACTTAGTGATAAGAAGGTTCAATATTAGTTATTTTAGTTTAATCGAGATTTAAAAGATATTCTTTATATTTTATTTTGAAATTATGTAATTACAGTGTTACGTTAAAGAAAAAACAAATAGTATACACTATGGTAACTTTTAGATTATAAAATTAGACGGGCATTAATCGATTTTATAAAATTTTGGACTTAGTGATAAGAAGGTTCAATATTAGTTATTTTAGTTTAATCGAGATTTAAAAGATATTCTTTATATTTTATTTTGAAATTATGTAATTACAGTGTTACGTTAAAGAAAAAACAAATAGTATACACTATGGTAACTTTTAGATTATAAAATTAGACGGGCATTAATCGATTTTATAAAATTTTGGACTTAGTGATAAGAAGGTTCAATATTAGTTATTTTAGTTTAATCGAGATTTAAAAGATATTCTTTATATTTTATTTTGAAATTATGTAATTACAGTGTTACGTTAAAGAAAAAACAAATTGTATACACTATGGTAACTTTTAGATTATAAAATTTAAGAGGAATCAATTGATCTTATAACATTTTGGACTTAGTGATAAGTAGGTTCTATTTTAGTTATTTTAGTTTAATAGAGATTTAAAAGATATTTTTTATATTTTCTTTTGAAATTATGTAATTACAGCGTTACGTTAAAGAAAAAACAAATTGTATACACTATGGTAACTGTTAGATTATAAAATTAGAGGGGCATTAATCGATTTTATAACATTTTGGACTTAGTGATTAGTAGGTTCTATATTAGTTATTTTAGTTTAATCGAGATTTAAAAGATATTCTTTATATTTTATTTTGAAATTATGTAATTACAGTGTTACGTTAAAAAAAAAACAAATTGTATACACTATGGTAACTTTTAGATTATAAAATTAGACGGGCATTAATCGATTTTATAAATTTTGGACTTAGTGATAAGTAGGTTCTATATTAGTTATATTAGTTTAATCGAGATTTAAAAGATATTCTTTATATTTTGTTTTGAAATTATGTAATTACAGTGTTACGTTAAAGAAAAAACAAATAGTATACACTATGGTAACTTTTAGATTATAAAATTAGACGGGCATTAATCGATTTTATAAAATTTTGGACTTAGTGATAAGTAGGTTCAATATTAGTTATTTTAGTTTAATCGAGATTTAAAAGATATTCTTTATATTTTATTTTGAAATTATGTAATTACAGTGTTACGTTAAAGAAAAAACAAATTGTATACACTATGGTAACTTTTAGATTATAAAATTTAAGAGGAATCAATTGATCTTATAACATTTTGGACTTAGTGATAAGTAGGTTCTATTTTAGTTATTTTAGTTTAATAGAGATTTAAAAGATATTTTTTATATTTTCTTTTGAAATTATGTAATTACAGCGTTACGTTAAAGAAAAAACAAATTGTATACACTATGGTAACTTTTAGATTATAAAATTTAAGAGGAATCAATTGATCTTATAACATTTTGGACTTAGTGATAAGTAGGTTTCTATTCTATTTTTTATATTTTCTTTTGAAATTATGTAATTACAGCGTTACGTTAAAGAAAAAACAAATTGTATACACTATGGTAACTGTTAGATTATAAAATTAGAGGGGCATTAATCGATTTTATAACATTTTGGACTTAGTGATTAGTAGGTTCTATATTAGTTATTTTAGTTTAATCGAGATTTAAAAGATATTCTTTATATTTTATTTTGAAATTATGTAATTACAGTGTTACGTTAAAAAAAAAACAAATTGTATACACTATGGTAACTTTTAGATTATAAAATTAGACGGGCATTAATCGATTTTATAAATTTTGGACTTAGTGATAAGTAGGTTCTATATTAGTTATATTAGTTTAATCGAGATTTAAAAGATATTCTTTATATTTTGTTTTGAAATTATGTAATTACAGTGTTACGTTAAAGAAAAAACAAATAGTATACACTATGGTAACTTTTAGATTATAAAATTTAAGAGGAATCAATTGATCTTATAACATTTTGGACTTAGTGATAAGTAGGTTCTATTTTAGTTATTTTAGTTTAATAGAGATTTAAAAGATATTTTTTATATTTTCTTTTGAAATTATGTAATTACAGCGTTACGTTAAAGAAAAAACAAATTGTATACACTATGGTAACTGTTAGATTATAAAATTAGAGGGGCATTAATCGATTTTATAACATTTTGGACTTAGTGATAAGTAGGTTCTATATTAATTATTTTAGTTTAATCGAAATTTAAAAGATATTCTTTATATTTTATTTTGAAATTATGTAATTACAGTGTTACGTTAAAGAAAAAACAAATTGTATACACTATGGTAACTTTTAGATTATAAAATTAGACGGGCATTAATCGATTTTATAAATTTTGGACTTAGTGATTAGTAGGTTCTATATTAGTTATTTTAGTTTAATAGAGATTTAAAAGATATTTTTTATATTTTATTTTGAAATTATGTAATTACAGTGTTACGTTAAAGAAAAAACAAATAGTATACACTATGGTAACTTTTAGATTATAAAATTAGACGGGCATTAATCGATTTTATAAAATTTTGGACTTAGTGATAAGTAGGTTCAATATTAGTTATTTTAGTTTAATCGAGATTTAAAAGATATTCTTTATATTTTATTTTGAAATTATGTAATTACAGTGTTACGTTAAAGAAAAAACAAATTGTATACACTATGGTAACTTTTAGATTATAAAATTTAAGAGGAATCAATTGATCTTATAACATTTTGGACTTAGTGATAAGTAGGTTCTATTTTAGTTATTTTAGTTTAATAGAGATTTAAAAGATATTTTTTATATTTTCTTTTGAAATTATGTAATTACAGCGTTACGTTAAAGAAAAAACAAATTGTATACACTATGGTAACTTTTAGATTATAAAATTTAAGAGGAATCAATTGATCTTATAACATTTTGGACTTAGTGATAAGTAGGTTCTATTTTAGTTATTTTAGTTTAATAGAGATTTAAAAGATATTTTTTATATTTTCTTTTGAAATTATGTAATTACAGCGTTACGTTAAAGAAAAAACAAATTGTATACACTATGGTAACTGTTAGATTATAAAATTAGAGGGGCATTAATCGATTTTATAACATTTTGGACTTAGTGATAAGTAGGTTCTATATTAATTATTTTAGTTTAATCGAGATTTAAAAGATATTCTTTATATTTTATTTTGAAATTATGTAATTACAGTGTTACGTTAAAGAAAAAACAAATAGTATACACTATGGTAACTTTTAGATTATAAAATTTAAGAGGAATCAATTGATCTTATAACATTTTGGACTTAGTGATAAGTAGGTTCTATTTTAGTTATTTTAGTTTAATAGAGATTTAAAAGATATTTTTTATATTTTCTTTTGAAATTATGTAATTACAGCGTTACGTTAAAGAAAAAACAAATTGTATACACTATGGTAACTTTTAGATTATAAAATTTAAGAGGAATCAATTGATCTTATAACATTTTGGACTTAGTGATAAGTAGGTTCTATTTTAGTTATTTTAGTTTAATAGAGATTTAAAAGATATTTTTTATATTTTCTTTTGAAATTATGTAATTACAGCGTTACGTTAAAGAAAAAACAAATTGTATACACTATGGTAACTGTTAGATTATAAAATTAGAGGGGCATTAATCGATTTTATAACATTTTGGACTTAGTGATAAGTAGGTTCTATATTAATTATTTTAGTTTAATCGAGATTTAAAAGATATTCTTTATATTTTATTTTGAAATTATGTAATTACAGTGTTACGTTAAAGAAAAAACAAATAGTATACACTATGGTAACTTTTAGATTATAAAATTTAAGAGGAATCAATTGAACTTATAACATTTTGGACTTAGTGATAAGTAGGTTCTATTTTAGTTATTTTAGTTTAATAGAGATTTAAAAGATATTTTTTATATTTTCTTTTGAAATTATGTAATTACAGCGTTACGTTAAAGAAAAAACAAATTGTATACACTATGGTAACTGTTAGATTATAAAATTAGACGGGCATTAATCGATTTTATAAAATTTTGGACTTAGTGATAAGTAGGTTCTATATTAGTTATTTTAGTTTAATAGAGATTTAAAAGATATTTTTTATATTTTATTTTGAAATTATGTAATTACAGTGTTACGTTAAAGAAAAAACAAATAGTATACACTATGGTAACTTTTAGATTATAAAATTAGACGGGCATTAATCGATTTTATAACATTTTGGACTTAGTGATAAGTAGGTTCTATATTAGTTATTTTAGTTTAATCGAGATTTAAAAGATATTCTTTATATTTTATTTTGAAATTATGTAATTACAGTGTTACGTTAAAGAAAAAACAATTAGTATACACCATGGTAACTTTTAGATTATAAAATTAGACGGGCATTAATCGATTTTATAAAATTTTGGACTTAGTGATAAGTAGGTTCAATATTAGTTATTTTAGTTTAATCGAGATTTAAAAGATATTCTTTATATTTTGTTTTGAAATTATGTAATTACAGCGTTACGTTAAAGAAAAAACAAATTGTATACACTATGGTAACTTTTAGATTATAAAATTTAAGAGGAATCAATTGATCTTATAACATTTTGGACTTAGTGATAAGTAGGTTCTATTTTAGTTATTTTAGTTTAATAGAGATTTAAAAGATATTTTTTATATTTTCTTTTGAAATTATGTAATTACAGCGTTACGTTAAAGAAAAAACAAATTGTATACACTATGGTAACTGTTAGATTATAAAATTAGAGGGGCATTAATCGATTTTATAACATTTTGGACTTAGTGATTAGTAGGTTCTATATTAGTTATTTTAGTTTAATCGAGATTTAAAAGATATTCTTTATATTTTATTTTGAAATTATGTAATTACAGTGTTACGTTAAAAAAAAAACAAATTGTATACACTATGGTAACTTTTAGATTATAAAATTAGACGGGCATTAATCGATTTTATAAATTTTGGACTTAGTGATAAGTAGGTTCTATATTAGTTATATTAGTTTAATCGAGATTTAAAAGATATTCTTTATATTTTGTTTTGAAATTATGTAATTACAGTGTTACGTTAAAGAAAAAACAAATAGTATACACTATGGTAACTTTTAGATTATAAAATTTAAGAGGAATCAATTGATCTTATAACATTTTGGACTTAGTGATAAGTAGGTTCTATTTTAGTTATTTTAGTTTAATAGAGATTTAAAAGATATTTTTTATATTTTCTTTTGAAATTATGTAATTACAGCGTTACGTTAAAGAAAAAACAAATTGTATACACTATGGTAACTGTTAGATTATAAAATTAGAGGGGCATTAATCGATTTTATAACATTTTGGACTTAGTGATAAGTAGGTTCTATATTAATTATTTTAGTTTAATCGAAATTTAAAAGATATTCTTTATATTTTATTTTGAAATTATGTAATTACAGTGTTACGTTAAAGAAAAAACAAATTGTATACACTATGGTAACTTTTAGATTATAAAATTAGACGGGCATTAATCGATTTTATAAATTTTGGACTTAGTGATTAGTAGGTTCTATATTAGTTATTTTAGTTTAATAGAGATTTAAAAGATATTTTTTATATTTTATTTTGAAATTATGTAATTACAGTGTTACGTTAAAGAAAAAACAAATAGTATACACTATGGTAACTTTTAGATTATAAAATTAGACGGGCATTAATCGATTTTATAAAATTTTGGACTTAGTGATAAGTAGGTTCAATATTAGTTATTTTAGTTTAATCGAGATTTAAAAGATATTCTTTATATTTTATTTTGAAATTATGTAATTACAGTGTTACGTTAAAGAAAAAACAAATTGTATACACTATGGTAACTTTTAGATTATAAAATTTAAGAGGAATCAATTGATCTTATAACATTTTGGACTTAGTGATAAGTAGGTTCTATTTTAGTTATTTTAGTTTAATAGAGATTTAAAAGATATTTTTTATATTTTCTTTTGAAATTATGTAATTACAGCGTTACGTTAAAGAAAAAACAAATTGTATACACTATGGTAACTTTTAGATTATAAAATTTAAGAGGAATCAATTGATCTTATAACATTTTGGACTTAGTGATAAGTAGGTTCTATTTTAGTTATTTTAGTTTAATAGAGATTTAAAAGATATTTTTTATATTTTCTTTTGAAATTATGTAATTACAGCGTTACGTTAAAGAAAAAACAAATTGTATACACTATGGTAACTGTTAGATTATAAAATTAGAGGGGCATTAATCGATTTTATAACATTTTGGACTTAGTGATAAGTAGGTTCTATATTAATTATTTTAGTTTAATCGAGATTTAAAAGATATTCTTTATATTTTATTTTGAAATTATGTAATTACAGTGTTACGTTAAAGAAAAAACAAATAGTATACACTATGGTAACTTTTAGATTATAAAATTTAAGAGGAATCAATTGATCTTATAACATTTTGGACTTAGTGATAAGTAGGTTCTATTTTAGTTATTTTAGTTTAATAGAGATTTAAAAGATATTTTTTATATTTTCTTTTGAAATTATGTAATTACAGCGTTACGTTAAAGAAAAAACAAATTGTATACACTATGGTAACTTTTAGATTATAAAATTTAAGAGGAATCAATTGATCTTATAACATTTTGGACTTAGTGATAAGTAGGTTCTATTTTAGTTATTTTAGTTTAATAGAGATTTAAAAGATATTTTTTATATTTTCTTTTGAAATTATGTAATTACAGCGTTACGTTAAAGAAAAAACAAATTGTATACACTATGGTAACTGTTAGATTATAAAATTAGAGGGGCATTAATCGATTTTATAACATTTTGGACTTAGTGATAAGTAGGTTCTATATTAATTATTTTAGTTTAATCGAGATTTAAAAGATATTCTTTATATTTTATTTTGAAATTATGTAATTACAGTGTTACGTTAAAGAAAAAACAAATAGTATACACTATGGTAACTTTTAGATTATAAAATTTAAGAGGAATCAATTGAACTTATAACATTTTGGACTTAGTGATAAGTAGGTTCTATTTTAGTTATTTTAGTTTAATAGAGATTTAAAAGATATTTTTTATATTTTCTTTTGAAATTATGTAATTACAGCGTTACGTTAAAGAAAAAACAAATTGTATACACTATGGTAACTGTTAGATTATAAAATTAGACGGGCATTAATCGATTTTATAAAATTTTGGACTTAGTGATAAGTAGGTTCTATATTAGTTATTTTAGTTTAATAGAGATTTAAAAGATATTTTTTATATTTTATTTTGAAATTATGTAATTACAGTGTTACGTTAAAGAAAAAACAAATAGTATACACTATGGTAACTTTTAGATTATAAAATTAGACGGGCATTAATCGATTTTATAACATTTTGGACTTAGTGATAAGTAGGTTCTATATTAGTTATTTTAGTTTAATCGAGATTTAAAAGATATTCTTTATATTTTATTTTGAAATTATGTAATTACAGTGTTACGTTAAAGAAAAAACAATTAGTATACACCATGGTAACTTTTAGATTATAAAATTAGACGGGCATTAATCGATTTTATAAAATTTTGGACTTAGTGATAAGTAGGTTCAATATTAGTTATTTTAGTTTAATCGAGATTTAAAAGATATTCTTTATATTTTGTTTTGAAATTATGTAATTACAGTGTTACGTTAAAGAAAAAACAAATAGTATACACTATGGTAACTTTTAGATTATAAAATTTAAGGGGAATTAATTGATTTTATAACATTTTGGACTTAGTGATAAGTGATAATATTTTAGAGTTAGGGAGTGGTAATTAAGTAAGTAATTCCTTTTACATTCAAAAGGGTGCTGAAATTCGAAAGACAAAATCATATATAATAATATTGGGCTTTTTGAGAGTGAAAAATAATAAACCACAAACCATACCAACCACTAAATGCTAAATTGGCGCCAATCGCAAAAGGTAAAATTTTATTGTTCCGTGCTTTTTCTTACCTCAAACGTGATTCCCAGAATCGCCAAAGCGTTCCTGAAAATGATGGCCGGAATGATGCTGAATATACTATGCACGAAGAAGGCTGGCATACAAATGAGCAGAAGGATGTTATCAAGTTGATTGTGCGCTTGAGTGTTGATGTCCAATTTTGAGATTTGGACGTAAGCCCATATCGCAGTCACCACCATTAGAGCCATTATTACCAGATGAGTGCATCGATTGAGAATTCGCCCCGATTCGGCAAAGTCTGATTCCTTGCTGAGAAAATTGAAGGTATTCCGAAACATTTTTCTGCCATAGTTTTTATGACGCAAAGATATTTCGCAGCGAATGAGTATGTTAAAGTACTAGAGTGCTCTTAAAGCTGAGCCCGACGAATCGGTACGAAGCGAGCGGTACACAAAATCCCTTTGTGAAAAGCAATGGCTTTCAAAAATAAGTCTGTATTTATATGAATGTTTTAAATTTGAATATTACCTGTAATACGTTATAAAGAATACGATTATGCTAACAAGGGCAAACACCATCACCAAAAATCCCCCGAAAAGTCCCTTGTTAGCGGAATGACAGTCGGCGTGTACGGATACGTTTCCCTCCGGTTCAATAGGTTTGTTTTGATGTTTGCACTCGTTTGTATCTAAAGAATGCCTGTCGTGTGGGCTGCCGGATGGCACCTTGCATAATCCGATATTTTGCCAAACAATTAGCAAAATACCCACTAAAAATATATAGGCATGTACACAAGTACTCTGGATTACTGATTATTTATCAAATGCAAATTGATAAAGCTTGGGCATCTTACATTTTTGCCTGACACCATTTCGATAAAATACAGGCAATTTTGACTCGAAATAGAGAATGGTAATTAGTTAATTTTAGCAGAAATAATTCATGTAAACTTTGGTCCGCAAGACCTTCAATTTTGAGGCAACCTTAAAATGTTATTCGTATTTCTGTTAATTTGTTATGTAGTTTTACTAGTAATAAATTATTTAAAGCTTTCCGTGTTAGTAAATTGTACTGTGTTCTTTTTTTTTTAACCGATTTCCATTGGTCACCATTCGTTTTAGAGGTTAAGTTTGTTTGTTGTAAATTGTTTCCACCACATGTCGTTTTTGACTTTTTGTATAGTAAAATTCGTTCACTGCACTCACCAACAAGAATAGAATATTCAACGCTAAATGGGTACAAGTACGGAGAATAATTTTGATATATAACGGAAAGCTCGTCATGTTCGCAGACTCTGGTGAAACGCCTCGGGGCGATTTCTGAGGGATACGTGACTAAAATAAATAAATTTCTTGTAGCGATAGCATTATTTTAACAATGTGCTACTTACCAAAAGAGAAAGCGTTATGGCTTTCATTGTTGTGGTCAAAAAAGAAACTTTTGTCCTTCTGATATGTGATATACTCAGCCGTCTCTCTGAAAATGGTCCATATCCAAAAACACAGACTAGCAGAAATGCAATGCATAAAACCGAATCTGTGCAATACTTGGTTTTTATTAATGATCACCTAGAAACACAATAACGAGTTTAATTGATATTTTTCTCAGTAAGCTCATTTGGCAATTACAATATAATAGTGAATATAAAAACGACTTACGTTAGAGTATTTAAATATGAAGAAAAGCAGTAATATAGAATATACGGGATACAAAACTTCTATTATGAAGGTAAGGACATTGTCACATTTCGAGGATATGTTATCGTCCAAAGCCATTCCTCTATAAATTAGTATTATCAAACTGTGGATCAGGTGGCCAAAGCAAAATCCTGTTGAATTAAAAATAGGGAAAATAGAAATTAGGCTGCAAACTGAAAAAAACCATTGAACCAGCTTGTCAAAATAATATTTCTGCTATGAATATTGTACGTGCATGGGCAAGACAGTGACAGTTGCAACATTCCCACCAAAAATCATATTCGTAAAAAGAAATACAAAGTAAGAACTATATAATAACTGACAAAAACATTTTCCGCTGTGTTCTAAATAAGGATGTGTCATAATTCAAAATTGATATGCAAAAGCAAGAAACAAGAAGGAATAACTCCTTATTTTTCGTGATGCATTAATCTTGTATAAAATTCGGAAGCCGTTATAGTAAGGCAACAAAAAACTGCTCTGTTCAAAATATTTCCAATAGGCATCAGCATAGGTCAGTGTGTATGTTCTCACCTGCGGCCCCAACTTTAAGGTAAAAATTTGTAGAATGTCTATCTCTATTAAAACAGTAGTTGTGTTCGAGTTGCTTCTTTAGAGATGCAATTTTCGGTAGGGTTACGTTCAGCTGTAACGTGCCATTCGCATTTTTCGTCATCTCAACTTCTTCCTGCGTACTTTCTTCCAACAGTTGCTCAAACTTTCTCCTTTTACGATTGAAAACGGATATATCTACGGTGAGATACAACAAGTACAGGAGTGCGGTTAACAGTAGAAATAGACTGAATCCCTGAAACATGAAGCTAGGTTTATTCTAGTTTTGCGAACCAAAAAATTCACACTCACTTCTGCTAATCGGTTAATCTCCTTCGAATCCAGTTGTAAGGCGTCGATAATATAAACGGATATCCCGATTGTGATGTTCATTAGAGAGAACAGAACGCCAAGGGTGGCGCTTAGACTGGAACTGAAAAATAAGGTCAGCTTAGTAAATTTTATGATTCAATTAATTTCTTATTGTATAATGAACCATTTTCAAATTGCTATTAATATACTGACTTAAAGAACTTTCTCTTTTCGTCTGGCGTAGACGGAGTATGCGAAGTATTGATGCTGGATGTTGACCTTGAATATTCCGATGCCTTGAACATCTTTTGCTCATGTTCATCATTCAGATGGTAACTAGCAGGACTGGACAGATCATTCGATTGTGATATCTGGCTCGAGAACGTGAATCTATGGTTTTCGTAATTATCACCTGGCAAATCGAAAAAAAATCTGATCTCCTTCCGCGTTGACGCAAATTCTTACCTGTATCAATCGGGTAAGCAAATGAATTGAGATTCGGTGGACTTCTGTTATACACTGGAGATGGAATAACCAACTGAAGTACCATCTCTTTTTTTTTATTCTGTAATAAATAAAAATGTACCTGAATATTCGAACAGGCAGTGTTAAGAAAATTTAAAAATAAATATCGTATAGTATGATGCTAGAATTTTAAATTTGTGTCCTAAATAATAGCATCTTATTGCCTATAAATAGTTTGCCTCCAGTTCAAACTTACCAACAATACGGTTCTTATCACTTAAAAAATAAGTATTAATCAATAAAAACGAACCTTTGATTGTGGCCTGCGTTGTTGTGCGGTTTGGTAATACGATTGCAGATCCCCGGTCGAATGGGGATGCGAAGATTTAAAAACTTCAGCTCTTGGTGTCACTCTAGCAGACAGGTTTGTATTTTTCCGGTTGACTGCAGGACGCCTTAATATTACATCGCTATTTGTTATTGATATATCATCGGGTACATCTGCCTGACGACGTTCGCTTTGGTCCTAAAATCAAATCGATTACTCTTATATTAATTATTCAATGTGCCGTATATGGGTTAGTTCAAACATACTTATGGTAAATGCAGCAAATATTATTGTATTTATCTTTATGTATAGATCGAGTAATACGATTTTCTGAAATGAGATAAACGGGTTAAATACTTTCTTAATAAAACCTCATAGACTATCCCTGTTGTTGTATTCTTGTATGAATATATAATTTAAATTAAACGCATGCCAATCAAGATTAACTAAGATACGCTTGTTGTAAATTGATTGACTATAATTTATCACATTGATGATTTATATTAACAGTTTGATCCCGAAAATGATATCAATTTGCAATACAAGACAATATATAACCATGTTCTATAGATTTTTTCTCATGACAGCAAATAGACAATTAATTTAAGTTCATGTCATAGTAAATATAGAGTTTCTATGTAATTTTTGGTATATGATATACGGAAGGATTCAATACTGAATTTATTATGCCGAATGGCGATTTCATTGCAAAATACACAAAATATTCTTTCATATTCTTAATATCTACTATGTAGTCATGTGCATTCAAAGTCCACTTAAGCGAGGATTAGAACGTACCGCTTAATATTTCAACATCTTGAAATTCTGATATATGCGTTTCATTAAATCAATTTTTTAGACTTACATAATTTGTATAACGAAGATCATCTTCTCGTTTTTCCTTATTTCCCAAATGTAAACTTTCAGGCCGCTTGGCTTTGTTTACATTATTCTCGGCATATCTATCAATATCCGAGTTGGTTAAGGGAACTGGATCGTCTTGATCGTTCTCCTTCATCTTTGTATATTTTTTGAACGTCCACCCTCATGCAGCGGGGGCAACTAACTTCAACCGCAGTTGAATATTTGCTATATTTGCTACCAAACCGCTTAATGATTAATTTGTAGATAATACTTAACAGATATATGAACCCTAATCCGGACGGCTGTAAAAGTTGACACTGTTTTTTTTTTAAATTCTGATATATTGCAGTTTAACACCATATATAACTAACAGATTAATGCGATCAATTGGGTTTTACAGTTGCGGCAATATTATTTCTTGTTGTTAACGCTAAAAACATTGCACACATCGGGAATTACTTTAGCCGCAATTAGAAACTTAAGTATATATGTTGTTGATTGTAATTAACAACCGAGAACTGAGAAAGAATGCGATATTTGTCATAGATATGCAGATATTAGTTCCCATGAATAAAAAATCTACAGGAATATACAATGCCATTGTAGGATCGCCACAAACGGAAAATTATGGTTTCATACTTTAAAAATAACTAAAAAAAAATAAGAATTAAAAGAATATACTAATCAAACCTTATTCTATATTCTTATATTTAAAAAAAAAATCCAAAGAGTATCAATATTTAATTTAATACTAAACTTAAGCGCATAAAAATCGGCCCGCTGTAAATTTTTGACTTCAGTATATTTTTTTTCTAGAAAATACTCATCTGACCCAAAAAATAAACATGCTATTTGGAAGACAATATAATATGCTTTAGTATGAGTTTAAATTTGTCTTTTATATGCGTAGCTACGGTTAAACAAATGAAACGTATTCAAGCAGTAGTTATAGTGATAGTAACAAACTTGTTATAGACTTAAATTAATCGCCTTTGGAACTGGAATTTTCACGTTGTTCGTTTTGAGCATTTTTGGACATTGGAGGGTCTGTTCTGTTCTCAGATGAGACCAGAATAGCCTTTTTGGCAGGGGCCGACGAAAAAATTGTACAGAAGACCACGAGAGCGATTTGCAGAATGCTGCAATGGAGAGCGGAGCCCTTGTGGAGGTGGTTCCTGCATGACATGGAGTGCAATTTCTATGAAAGCACGAACCGACCCTCTTTTTATCCGTATGGGCGGTTGTGGTCAAGAGCAGGAGATACGTTTTTATGCATGACAATGCTGGGCCGCACACGGCAAGGATCGTGCAAGATTACATTACAGAAGTCGGTTTTCGAGTTATGGAGTGACCAGTATGCAGTCCCGACCTCAATCCGATCGTACGCTAGACTTCGTACCCCAACCTCGATCCCAGAGCTTATTGTTGCAGTACAGGAAGAGTGGCTTAACAATCCACAAGAAACAATAACCAACCTCATTAGATCTATGCCTATTCCAGTAAGAGATGTTATTAGGGCATACCTATTAATAAAAAACAAGTGTTGAGTTTGCTAATTGTCAATAACCCTATTTTTTTTTAATAATAAAAAAAGTTACTCTGATTCGGGCGGTTATTTTACTATGCTAAACCTAAAAGGCAGAAATTAATTTTAAACAATTTAAACTGATTTTTTTTTCATCTGATCAGTAGTTTCTAAAGAACTTGAGGTCAAAAGTTTACAATGGGCCGATTTCTATGCTCGCAAGTTTATTTATAAAACTTGAGTCGAATTTGCTAACGTTTCGCCAATCTTCCTGTTGGCTTCTTCAGAGTTTAACTGAAAATGTCTCCGGATTATTGGCAAAACGTTAGCAAGTTCGACTCAACAACAACGGACACGGCAGGAATCCAGAAATTTTTTAAATAGTAGTAATATTTATTTGTTATTAAATATTTTGTTAAAATAATTTTTTCGAGATTTATCGTGAAATCCCTATTTATTTGAAGCAGTGTATCCAGGTATGTTATGCCCACTTAATTTGAGCATATATATAATTTATGAACATAATCAGAGAACAGATATACAAAGGTCAGTCAATAATTTGTAATTTTTATTATATTCTCTACAAGACCTTACAGCTTTTTATTGTAAGGTAAACTTTATTCATTTAAACTTTCTCGGAATACTACCCTGTATGAGATAGTAGATTTTATAATCACCAGAAACAGAAATAATATGTTGATTAACTACTCAAGAATTGCAAAATCTAGAAATTATAAGAACTATAAAGGATCTAAATTATTTAATCTATTGCCTCTAAGCGTTAGAGAGCTGCCGGAGAGACAATTCTCTATTAAGGTCAAATCACTTCTGCTGGATGGGGCCTATTACTCATTTGATGACTTTTTTACCAATTTTAATAATGTTTAGCGTTTTCTGCGTTATGTCGCGGTGCCTTTGTATATATATTACACATATATGTAGATTTATCTCAATGTTTTTCGCTGACTTGTGTAAAACCGTAGGGTTGTTAACACCAATAAATTATTATTATTATTATTATTATTATTATTATAACTTTTATATAGGAATAACCTTCTTCCTTTTTTTCCATCAACGCTAGACGGAAAGAAGTCTTGCCAAATTTGTGGTTGTACAGAGCGACGACGTACAACTTTTTTAAGCTCATTCCAAACAATGATTGAACTGCCATATGAGTTTCGCTCGGATATGGTACAGACGGTCATATCTTTTATTAATACGTCTGTATACCCGCTCACGATCATCCGGTGACACACCCATCTGTGAATAGTACGTGTTATAACTATTTTACCGTCCAGCTAGAATACAATCTTGCAAATATCGATCGTGTTGATGTTCAGGAAGTAATTGTGGCCATATTGCCGGCCTCCGTGAATCAAGTCCTGCTTCTTTCAATCTTCCACATACCGTTGTTGCGCTTACATTTGTAGGTTATTTTTTGGAGACACAGCAGTAGTTCTTCGATCTCTTAAAAAACTTGCAATGGCACAGCCATCATCAACTGCAGTAGTTATTTTCCTTCTGCCAGAGTCTTGCCGCTTAGTAAAGTTTCCTGTACCAAAGTACAGGACACATAACTTTTAGTATGGTCATCCTGAATTCAGGCAAAAATTCGAACTACGCCTAGGATAACGTTATGATTCAAAAAACAAAAGATTTAGAATATATAAAAGATTACAGCAAACATCTTGTAAACCAAATGATCCTCAGTTTTTCCACAGAGTGTTTTGAATGAGAAAAAACAACAAAACGAAAACAATTAGTTACTAAAATAAAAAAGTTATAAATCATAAAACTCCAATCAAAAATTTTAGGGTGGCGGCATTTTGAGAGGTGCATATTAATTTTAAAATATCTATAGAGACTGTGTCTCTTATATTTTTTAATAAAAAACAATAAAAAAAATTGCCTTTTTTTAATAATTTCTAAAATAAATTGCTGCGAATAATTTTAATTTTTGTATATAATTTAAACGCTCTGAAAGCCTCCGCGATCCAGAACAACAGTTGCTTGTTTTATGCGGATTGCTAAAGAAATACAAATATAAACGAATATCTATAACGTAAGGTCCGGATCTCGTATTTCCATCAAACGATTAGTACAAATACGAAACACGAACTTGGTCCGTTTGAGTAGACAGTTTTTCTCAATGGCTAAAATCGGGAACGAAAACCTCCGAAGTGGGTATAATTGAGTATTTTTGAGTAGGGAGTAAAAAAATAGGTTCGAGCATTCAATACGGTTTTCTAATCTTCCTCCATTCTCCGGTATTTTAGAGTTTTTCAAAGCTAAACGCAAATATATCTTCCGCGCCATCTGTGAACCAGACGATCAATTTCAGAAAAAAGTCAATAACGAACTGCAGCAATCGCTGCTAAACCTGGCGTTGCACGCTTCTCGTAGCAAAGGTGTGGTAAGCAAAACAATAGCGAACTGTAAAGCCGAAAATCAAAAACATCCATACATGATAAAGAGACTGGGATTAAAATCACTAACTGAAGATTTTACAGTTCCTTTTGTGCTGCGCCATCTACACATCGAATAGCGAAAATACGAAGCTATAGGTCCTACTTTCCTGCGCAGCAGAATCAGATTTCCGCTTTTATGGCATAGGTGGGGTAAAATTCGAATTTTATATCAGGTAGCCCAAGTTTTCGGTTAATGCTATTCATAATATGAAATTTACATATTTTGATAACTGGTAACTATCGATCAACACTCATTTAAACATTTCATAAAGTTTCTTATTTTAAGATTGTTTTTCAATCAAGACCAGACAATAATTTAGTATAAACAGTGAATTAGCAAGTGAAACTATCGTACCTAGTTACTCGGTTAATTTTTCATGTCGACAATTTTAGTATTTTTCGGTTAAATATAAGTTTCCTTTCATTCCTCCAAGCAATAGAAAATCGTATGAGAGTTCCAGTTATTTAGATGAAGTAAAATCATAATTAATATTTTAGAGATCTGAACTGCCCGCATCGCAGTGATCGCGTGTACTCGATTCCTAAATTACATGACGTCAATTCCATGACACACTGTATAAGGAAATCAGGAGCTAAGTATATCAAAAATTATAGATTCGCTCGCAGACGTTAACGTTAAATGGGTAGATGCCTTAATTTATTGTCCAATCAAATTTCTAACAATGTAATTCCGCGAGTATTAAATATATGTATACTGATAGTATTTCGAAATTAGAAACTTGCCTCTGGTATATTCGACATATCGAAACCAGATGTGTCTGTTGTAAGCCCAAATTAAGTTTTGTGTAAATTTAGGGGGTGCGAGAGCAAAATAAACCTCGAAGATACGGGTCCCCGAGAATCTACCACTGCCAAGCGAGATAATGTTTGTTTAATTTATTGCGGACCATTCTCTAACGACAGTGTACTTAGGGGTTAAGGAGACGCGGCGAGTTTAAGTGAAAGCCGATTTTTAACGCGAAATGTCAAGCAATCGGGTGGACTCTATTTTATTGAATTACGTTTTCAACTAAACACTGAAAAATTAAAAATTTGCAAAAAAAATCTATATTTGATATTTCAATGATTATCACAAAAATTATAGCTGTTATTTTTTCTATTTTTTTTTGTGGACGATAATTATAAGTTAAAATTAAAATTTTGACTACGAGAGAGAGCCAATTAAAAATAATCTATTGTTACGCCCGTAATAATATAGAAAATCATCATTGGGAAGTCGACTTTATAAAAAATTGTATTGTAAGAATTTCTCATATTTCGTATTGTATGTTGCATAATCGTTTTTGATCTCTACTGCTGAGTCTGAGTCTGAGTCGAATCTGAAAAATACTGAGCATGTGACAATTTTCAGCAGCTGCTCGTACAATACTGTACATGAATGTGGAAAAACTTTTTGTGCAAATTTGCCCCGCAGTTTTATGAAAATCGAATTCCTCAGAGATGCTTTACGAGTTAACTGGGCAATTCGAGAGGGTGATAAG